TTCGAGCTGCATCGGGATACGTGGAAGGGCTCACCGTGAACGAGACCGAATACCAAGGCATGCTGCTCGTTATCTCGCTGTTGGACGACCTCGACGTCGACGTTGCGAGACTGATTGTCTGTGGGGACTCCAATCTGGTGATACGTCAGATGCGGGGCGAGATGGACTGCAAGTCGCCCGGGCTGAAGCTGTTGAGAGCGCAAGCATGGAACGCACTACGAGGATGGCCCCAACATGAATTCCTCCACATCAGGCGGGACTGGAACGTGAGCGCAGATATGTTGGCTGGGCAAGCTCTCCAGCGCCAGCAAGACAAGAATTCCTACAACATGGGAGAGTTGGAAGATCTGAGGACCTTGCACCGGTTGGGAGAAGTGGTGCGCCCGACGACGCACGATGCAGAAGGCGACGATCACGTCTTGAAGGCTGAGACGCGCGGTCTAGACGATCCCGTTTCGGAAGCTGAGACGCGCGATCTAGATGACGTAGGACGCGGGACAAAAAAAGTTTGTCCCGTGATCACGCGCTCACGGGACGCGCAGAATCCAGCGCCGAGGAGACCACTGGAAGTCCTGAAAGTGCTCGAGGTACAACGACTCCGTCTTGATCGAGTCTGCACTGCGCAGGAAGAGGAGGCTTGGATCGCCAACCTCAAGAAGTTCTTAGACGGAGACATCAGCGGATTGTCCAGACGCGAAGCGAAGAACTGCCCCAAGATAGCGGAGCAGTACGAAGTCGGGGAGAGCGGTTTACTGTACTACCACGTACGTGGGAGCGAGGCCGCCGAGAATCGGGATACGATCATGAAGCTTGTCGTTCCAGAGACTCTCCGAGAAGACGTATTGCACCATTACCACGCGAGTTTGGAGGGCGGACATCAGGGTATCGGCAGAACGTATCAGCGGATACGACGACATTTCCATTGGCCCGGGTTGTTCAAGAGCGTGCAGCGCCACGTTGGGGAATGCGTCGACTGTGAGACGGGAAAGGGCCGTCCCACGATCCGGGGAGAGTCGCCGGGCAACATAGTTGAGATATACCCGTTCCAAGTCGTGGCGATGGATCATATCCCGTCACTACCGGCATCGCACAAGGACAATACGGAGCTCCTGGTCTGGGTAGACCTCTTCACAGGTTTTGTGATCGCAAAGGCAAGCGCGTCTCGAACGGCTCAAACCGTCGCGGAATCGTACGAGGAAGCCGTCTTCAGACGATTTGGCGCCAGCGAAGCGATTCGTCACGACCGCGAGCCCGGTTTCATGTCGGATTTTTTCAAGGCCTTCAATGCCTTCAACAAGCTGATGGACCAGCGGCAACGTGCGACGCTTGCGTACCGTCCGCAAGCAAACGGGACGGCAGAACGCATGGTGCAGACCATTACGAGAGCCATCAAGATGTACATTGCCGATATAGATCAACGTGACTGGGACCAATACGCTGAACGACTGACGTACGCGCTTAACACAGCTCACGATCGAACGATGAACGAGACCCCGTTTTTTCTCGTGCACGGCTGGGATCCGCGGTCCACGTTGGAAGCGACGTTAGCCGTGGGGAACACTTCGCATCGGGACGCAGACGCTAGTCGGTGGAGGATGCGTATTCAACGCCACTACCAGATAGCACGCGCACAATCCCTGGAACTGGTCCGCGAGGCGGTGGCCACGAGAGCGGCGCGCCAGAATGCGCACGCGACGGAAGCACGCGATAGAACGGGGCTCACGAGTCTGGCTGTATCTGGATCGA